CATAAATATTTGGTGAATTGGTCATATTATATTATTAGTATTCTCAATAGTTTATTTTTTGTAAGTATGTGCGATCACTTTTATTGTTCGGTTAATTTTTATTAGTTCGACATACTAATAAAATGGTGTGCTCACACACCTAATATCCTTTCCCTCACAAATTGTTCAATGGACACGTGTCATTACACATGACAAAATATGAAGGAGTACTTGGTCCAAGTCCAGAGTGAAAGAAAGAGGAAGGTTAAAAGAACGTGTCGGACTTTGAAGGTTAAGAACGTATGTATTCCATTTAGATGATGATATATGATGGCTTTAGGAGCCTAACGAAGCGGGACATTTCTATATTTTATACGGAAGAGTCGCCCTTTGGTAAACAAATTGATTGACGACAATTCATCAATTTTGTTCTTCTGGAAACTTAAGACTTCGATGCTTCGGTCGAATACAAGTCTTACATAATACAAGCATATCTAAAGTTGCCTTAGCTATTCTGTAAATAATAAGGATACATTTTAAACCGTAATTTTTTTTTTTTTTTTTTTTTTTTAAAAATCATTATATGCATGGTCACAAGTGAAGATATATATATATATATATGTAAGTAGTAAAATAATAACATATATGATACAACAATTATTAAAATAATAGCATTTCATTTTCAAAATTATGTTGGAGTAATTTTTAGTTTACAAATAAAAAATGAATAAAAGTCTTATAATATATCGTCTTAATATATAAATAAAAATATACAGTCATGTCTATGTCACATCTATATCTTTTTAAATAGATATTGAATTTCATTGATAATCAAATAATAAGGATGCTTGCTATGAAGTTGTGATTAAAATAATGTTAGATGTAATGAATATATATATATCAAACCGTGATACGGATAATTGTCAAAATAATTTTGTGATCCTTAGCATTACCATGAAAGGATAGTAACAATGATAATGTGGAGTGGAAGAATATCTAAATGAGATTTTTCTTAAATAGCTGCTCGTTTTGATATATATATATATATATATTCACTATATACTATATAAGATAGGGTTCATTTGTCCCACGCCAACGTGACATGTCGTGTCCAATTATGTATCACACCTTGTTAGTGTCACGCACGTCTAGAAAAAGCTTGGAGCTTCAAAATTAAATTGGAACAATACAATGTTGGACTTTTCTTTGTTGGATTTAATTAAAATCAATTTGTGATACATACCAAAGCACATACATCAATCTACTTCTTAATTAACACTAGCAGTCAACACTAAACAGAAGAGAGAGTCCACCAACTAACATTGCGTGCTATTTCTGTAAGACTTTAAGCAAAGTTGAAATATATAATTAAAAGTGTGTGAACAAAATAACGACTAAAAGGACTAAATATATTTTTAATATATATATATATATATATGAATATAATTCTTACACCAATAGTTGCAGTACATTACTAGACCTACTCTTTTAATTCGTCAATTATGCAACAAATAAGAAAATGATACCATCGACTTAATTATATTCAGTGTGAGAGTATCACCACTCATAGATAGATATATATATATACACACACACTAATACAGACACTATAGATATCGCAGCCTTTGGATATGACTAAATTACGTAGTGAACTGCACGGCAGTGCAATTTTGTCATTAAAAAAATCTTCTAGTATTGTTCTAGAATAATTGTGACCTGGAAAATTAGTGTCTGAATTTAAGATGGATACCAATTATACACGCTATGTATCTTAATCTTACATGTTACATCACTCTAAGCCTCTCTGTCTCTCACACACATACACACACACAGACAGGTAAGGGATTTTTTTATAAAACTCATTTATCACACAGTCCATAAATACATTAAAAAGAATAAATGAGAAGTTTGTGTGTATATATACAAAATATATATACATGAGCACGGGTTAAGACTCTGCACATCTAATAATCCTTTTCAGACTCTGCATTAATGGCGGAAGTCTTTCTACACTAAAGTTTGCGTTTTTTATTTTATTTTATTTTTGTTCACGTATACATGTCGACAGACAAGAAACTTCATAATAGTAGTTCAATTTCCAATAATAAAAAATAATAAATAAATAAAACTTCACAATAGTAGTTGACTAGCTGGGTTTGTTGTTTTATTGGTCTTGTTAATCAACCGTAAACTAAACTCAAATTCACATTCAACACAGAATTTTTTCTTTTTGTAAGCTCACTAACAAATTCGAGAAAATAATTTGGTTGGTAGGTTTAGACCATCATTTTGACATATATATATATATATTTCATAACCTTAGACTAAGTAATATAATACTGCGTACACGCAAACACATACATACACACATAGACTAGGTAATTAATATACTGGGTACACACCAACTTGGTAGGAGTTTGAAAAGAGGAAGTTTATATAATATAGACTAATCACGTACTTATAACAACATTCACACACACATACGTGCACGTACACCAGAAGTCGGTAAAATAAATTAATTTCCTTGGTCTTGTATCGTGTAATGAATTTTTGTTTCATATCTATATAAAATTTGCATTCTTGTACTACTAGCTAGTTGCTTTACACACAAACACTTGACACAACATGACCTACCTAAATACGCATCATTGTTGCAAGTTGCAACATGATCCTTGAAAGTTGAAACTCTAGTAAAAGAGTGTGTGTATATATATATATTACTGAAAGTCACAATCTTTTTTAGGAAAGTATCGTCAACTAAAACTCTTCTTAATTGTGATTTTTTTTTTCTTTTTCACTCTTTTTCTTTACCGTTAAGGAAAAACGTGATTGATTAAATTTAAAATTTTATCGTGCATCAAGCAGTGTAAAAGTTATTTTCTAAATTCTTTTGTAAGTAGAGAAGCTTTACAATCCTTGACTAAAAGTCAATCTCTTTAAATAATAAATTATTAATATTAAATAATAAATTAATAAATATATGTCTAAATCAAAAATTAAAAGTTGTGTTTATTCAACCGTATTGAAATAAAAAGCTCATAACATTCTTGTCTATAAAGTTATTCAATTTTACTGAAATTAATATTATTAAACATCTTTTAAACAAACCTGGTTGAAAGTTATAAATTTCATTTATAAATAAATCTCTCCTGAAGAATTTTAGTTATCTCTATGTATTAATTCCATGTATTGAAATCTATTCATATGAAAAAGTATGAATTTCAATCTATTTAGAGTGTTGGAAGAATTTATTGGATAAAAATGAAAGTGTCATGAAGATGAGAGTGAAATACGTAAATGTTATATTCTTTTTCTAAATTTAGAAAGACACACTTATAAGTGTTATACAGAGTGAAATATGCAAGTGTTATAATCCTTTTCTAAATTCAGAAACGTTTCGGTGCGTAGAGAGACACACTATTAACAACAAACACTTGTAGAAAAATTAGAGTGTTCATAATTATGGATTTTATTTATGAATATATCATAATACTTGCTCTATATCATAATAATTATGTGTGAACAACTTTAAGGTCTTTATATAATATGCTATCATGTATATTATATTCTATTCAGTCATATCATACATAACAAATAAATAAATAAATAATTGATATAAAACGTGCACATATAATTATTTAATTTTTATTACATGTTTTTAAATCTATTTATAAAAAAATGTAATGTGTTATATGTAGTATTTATAAATGTACTATTATTTTCTGATACATCATATGATTTGATATAATAAACCTATTGTACAATTGATTCAATAGTCTTTTTATTGCTTTGCAAAATAAAATTATATTCTTTAATTGTTCGGCTATAAATACCACAAGAATATTAGGATTAATTGCATAAGGTTTTAGATAAAGAGACTTTGAAGATGATGAAAAGTTTTATTTATCTTTGAGATTAATAGTCAAATAGTTATTCGGATGACTAATAATAACTTCAAGTTTTGAATTTATTTTGCTCTAAATTTATAAATATATAAACTAAATTAATTTAGCACTTTTATCTATAAGTTACTTTAATTTCATTTTAGATTTATATCATCTAAGCTCTTTTGCTATCTCAAAATATTGTTAAGTTCAATCACGTGCATTGCACGTAGTTCCATCTAGTGTGTGTGTGTATATATATATATATATATCTATATCTATAGGTAGGCCACTTAAATCTTCTCCCAATATTCTGCATCTGTGTTTGACATTTTTCAGAATTAAAGAAGCATTTTTGTGGGTAGAACTTATACAAAGACTCTATACAATTTAATTTAATTTTAATTTATTTGATGAATATATTTTTTAATTATATCACTTATGATTGCTAATTTAATCCTAATGTCTATTAATAGAATAATACTTATTTGATAATAACAATTTTATAAAAGCAGTGAAATTGTCTTTATAAAAAATAAAAAATAATAGTAAAAATGTTTAGGGAAAAATATAAAACTTATATTAAAATTTTTAGTTGCATTCAAAAACTATGTTGAAGTAATTAAAAACGATTAAAAGTGTTTTAATAATTACCCAACACATTTAAATACAATTTTGTAAAATAAAAGTTCAAGAATATTCTAGAAGACCGAAGCTTAAATTAGTTACTAAAAATTGTAAAATATGGCGAAACGTTATTACTAAAAATTGTGAAATTTTAAATTAGTTGGGGGTAGAAAAAAAAAGTTCAAGAATATTCTAGAAGACCGAAGCTTCGAGGAAAGACTCGCCCGAGCTCGCCAGCCACGACTCACGACCCAATTTGTGTGTTTTTTTGTTAGCTAAGCTAATATCTCACGCTTACGTCCACGGCGGCTCACACCGTTTTTTTATACTTACCCCCACTATATTAAATAATTATATTTTTACCCAAATCACCGTCACTCTTACTTCCGTTTCCCACAAGAAAGTAAGGGCACTTTTGTCAATGTCAAGTAGCAACTTTAACAAACCACTCACCCAACTTGAACCTATAAATAGACCACCTCCCTCGAGTCACAGTTTCATTGTTGCTTTCTGAATTTGTACCAAAAACACATTTTCACACAGCAAAACCCCCAGCAAACCCTAGTGTCATCTTTTTCTCTATACATGGTGTATTTAGGTATGAAGAGGTGCAGAGAAGGAGAGGGTGACAGCATAACAACCATGGCTAGCTGTTTGATGCTGCTCTCCCGTGGAGCCGAGTTCGAGCCGTTCATGAACAGTTCTAGTGGCCGTGTCTTCGAGTGCAAAACGTGTAACCGGCAGTTTTCGTCGTTTCAAGCTCTTGGTGGCCACCGAGCGAGTCACAAGAAGCCAAGGACGATGGAAGGAGGGATGAACTCACAAGCCCAGTTGTTGAGCTTGCCGGTGAAGCCCAAGACGCACGAGTGCTCGGTATGCGGGCTCGAGTTCGCCATAGGACAAGCTTTGGGAGGTCACATGAGGAGGCACCGAGCTGGCATGAATGAGAACCACCAGACACCTCTGTCTTTGTTTCCTACACAAGTACCAGTTGTGAAGAAATCAAAGAGTAGGAGGGTTTTGTGTTTGGATTTGAACTTGACTCCGTCCGAGAATGATCGTTTCCTTTTTGTCCCATACAGTTCTTATTAAATTTCTTTTTTTCTTTTTTGTTGAATCTTGTATGATATGTTTTGATTTATTGATTTATTTAATTTATATACAATATGAAGACCATGATCATATATACCTTTTATTCATTTGGTATTTGATTTATGTGTTTGTAAAATTTTTGTTATATTTAATATTTTATATATGAGGAAAATTATTATTATTATATTATCATGATACACAGATGATGTCACAGTATTATTATTATTATTATTTTCTCAAGCTATTATTATTAATAATAATAAGAAGAAAAATCCGTTGTCATGTTGATGGACAAATTTAGGAATAGTGACACTAGGGTCCAAAATTCTGAAACCAAACAAGAGAGGAGTTGGTGGCATGGAAAAACGTTTGTGTAGTACTATTGTGTGATTTTGGACTTTGATTGATCCCTCGATATATTATTGATGGTGCTAGATCAACAGCCATGCACCATTTTTGTACATCTTATAATATAGTATATGTGTGTATATAATGTTGGTATATTTAATAGATACGGAAGTTTTCTTTGAATTGAAAAAAGGGCATGTTTCATGATATAAATGTAGACGTCCTTAGACATCAATGTGACTTGGATGGCATGGTAGTGACTTGTGGTAAGGTTGAAGGCCAATCCAGCTATATATATATATATAGAGAGAGAGAGAGAGATAGATATATAGATATGTTAAAAGTTGCCTATGGCCTAACCCGAGCAAAACTTATCTTTAAGGTAAAAAATCCAAATCTCAGTGGAGTTGGCAAGATTGGATGGAATACATGGTTATTTATTTTTTATTTTTCATACCCTTTGTATTTAATTTAGTACGTAGCTTAATATCTGATTTTTCATTCTCTCTATTATTGTGTTTATCATCTACTTGTATTTTTTTTTTTTTTTTTTGGTTCAATTTTATACTTGCTGAATATATATATATATATATATATATATATATATTTGGTATAATCTCTTTTTCCTCAAAATTAAGAGCGGTGAAGGTTTGAGTCCAACGGTGAACAATCGTTTTGTTAACTATTTTCAGTATAATTACCAATAAGATACATAATAAAGAAAAGCTCAACAAATTAAATCAATATCTTCTCTCCTTGCCTTTTGCCTGAAAAACTATATATACATAAAAGTGATAGAACCATTTAGCCTAACTTTCATTTGCTCAAGATTAAAAATAATAAACCACATCAATGGGCTATAACCTATATGGCATAAACTCTCCTCTTATTTTAAGAGGTTGAGTGTTTGCAAGTTCTGGAGGGAAGAATATATATATATATAGTGGATTTGCATGTTTGCTTGAACTTTTGTTGAAGACAATGAAGTGTACCTACAGCCCGGGGAAATCATGCTGAATAGAATGCACCGTAACACTACTGATTTTTAGGTATATGTAACATTCTTTAGCTCATATAGTAGGATTTTTTTTATCCAAAAAGGGATCGAGATAATGGGTGTGTGCATTTGCTTTAACTTCGAAAATATATATTTTTTATTTTAATTAAAAAAAGGGGCATGTTTCATGATATATAGACATCCTTGGACATCAATGACTTTGATGGCATGGTAGTGGTTTGGGTTGGCTGGTAAAATTAGTTGCCTATGGGCTATGGCCTCGCCCCATCCAAACATATCTTTAAGCTGTACAATCCAAATCTCGGTGGAGTTGGCAAGATTGGATTGAATAAATAGGTTAATTTTTTTTGCATATCCTTTGTATTTTGATAAGGTTAATCTGATCTGTCATTCTCTTTATGATTGTGTTTGTTGATCAAGGTATCAACTCGCTATCAAACATCTCTTTAAACAATTTTTTATACCAAAAATTAAAACTTCAAACATATATTTTATATATAGAACAACCAAATATTTCCTTTTACCTTTCAAAATAGGAGATGAAGACTTCAAGTTTTATTAAATACAAAATAGGCATGCGTTACATAACCATTTTAAGTGTGATCACTGATATAAGGAAAACTAAAACACTATGTGATGGGACCTATTCACAAGGGTGGATTCAGAAATGCATAATGAGATGGGCTAATTTATTATGGGGTAGGCTCAAGCCCACCAAGCCCACCCCTGGATCCGCCCTTGCGCACCCATCACATGTGGTCTACTGTGTCAGTTGTTGGTTGATGTATGCTTGTTCCTGAAGTTCTCAATAAAATGAAAATCATTTTTTTTTTTTTAATAATGGGGTGTTCGGGGCTTTGCCCGACTAATTCACGGGACCGTGTAAGGTGTTTTTCATACGGATTCAGTGAAGTCTGAACTACGTCCGCGAGTGTGATCCTTAATAAAAACTATGTCCGTGAGAGTATGACCTTTAATGAATTATTTGCACCTAATAAACATTACTCCTGCAACGTGATCCTTTCATTTTCCTGAAAAATTATCAATATATAGAAGTGGTAGCACTCATTTAGCATAATTTGATCGAAGACAATGAAGTGCACAGGTTGCATAGACTAATCATACACCAGATTCATTTTTCAGATAGAAATTCAACTAAATACACAATCTCTCGTGCACACTAAAACTAAGACAACAAGAAGCCCGTGAGGGATGAAAATGTTACATACATGTATCACTGGGCATTGAAATGATTTGGCGTGGAACTTTTCAGCTATCCAAGTCAGAGAAGCCAAACATAAATGTAAAAAATCATTAAAATTTCATCACAGATATTTATTGTCGAAAAATCTCACTTTATCACTACTTCACAAATTTCATGGATTCATAGATAGAAATTGATTTGTTGGCTTCAATGTGTGGGACAATTATTAATAAAAAAAAATGTCAAACCATCTCACTTTACCTCCATAGATAGAAATTGATTTCATCGTTCCATATGTATCGAACAATTATTAATAAAAAAAAATTTTAATTTAATAAATTTTGATCTGACCTTTAGAATATGATCGGAGAGTCTTTACTATAAGACTATTCGCTTAGAGTTTCGTGTATAAATTAGAGTACCACCAATTTTTGATGTAATTTCACATAAATGAGATACTTTCATCAATAATTACAACTTTTTTTTTTTCTTTTTTTGGGGTAAATTAATTCAATTAAACGAAAAAAGGAAATAGAACAAAAAAGGAGGAGGGCTAAGCCCTCAAACAGGCAAAAAGTCATACACGGCCCAAAGGCAAAACCGAGGCCCAGCAAACACAAACACAAAAAAAAATAATAATTATAATAACAAAAAAATTTTTAATTTCAATGACGCCCTTGCGGTTTGGCCAAATCTTACATGAAAATATCTTTTAAAAATAAATATCACTTAAACCCCAAATTACTTTTCAATCTCTATCACCTTTAAAGTAATATGAATAGACATTTTTACCCTTATTTATTTGTTATATTTTAATTTAAAGTATCAGAAATCTGAAATGACCGAACTACCCTCATTAATTTTCCCTGACCTGTAACTCCCTTTCTCTCTCTTGACAGGTCATCTCACTAACTCACCTTTGTCTCTCTTTCACAGACTCACTCTTTCTAACCACAACTACGAAACTCTAACACACCTCTAACATTGATATCGCTCAAGAATTATTTATATATATATATATACATCGTCAATGTATATTGCATACAGATTGCCACAAGTCATCCCTCTCGAATCAGGACATACCAATAGGTGCTCAAAACCCAAAATTGCTACCAGGGCCAATACAATTTTCTCTTTACAATCACCTATACTTTTGCTATCCTGTTGGCCCAAAGGTTGATTACTTTGTTGATCTTTGATTGCTAGCTTAAGGTTGATTACTTTGTTGCTCTTTCATTACTAGTTTGTTAATATAATTAATCTGTACTTAATTATAGTGTTGTGCATTTATATACATATTAAGTATGTTTGTAGTCCAAATTCTCAAATTTATCACCAATTACTTCTATTTTCTTTGTAATTATGGTATTATTTTTAATGGGTTTTGAAAATTTTCTCTCATACATATACATATACAGATAGATATATTTTTATATATATATAGTTCAATTTTTTTGATATTTTGGTCATTTAAAATGGATCTTAGGTGTAGCTAAGTCATTTTATATATGAAACAATTTTTTGGTAAGTCAAATGGTTAGAAATATCATTTTATATATGAAAAGTAGCCTGACATAATTTAAAGGTGACGTTTGGAGTGTGAGTGAAAAATGGATCAAACATTTAAAATGTAAGTTATAATTATTTTTGGAAGGTGCCTCTATGTAAGATTTGGCCAAACCTCAAAGGGTATTATTGAAATTAACCCAAAAATAAATAAAAAACTAAAGATCATATAAAATTGGTAAAACTGTATTCTACAAAACTAATTTTGATTAATGTAATTAAAAAAGAGAGAGAGACTAAATATATTTTTTTAATTCGAGATGCTAAATGAATTGAATGGAAGGTGTAAATCTAACCGCATGACCTTTAGTCTGATGGCATGTGATGAAAGCCACCATAGTCGTGAAATGAGGTCCACTTTCCTGTAGGATTTACTGATTAATTTTTTATTCATTTTTCTTGTATTCGTTTTAAGCTTATGGGGCCTGGCCTATACTTGTTTGGGCTCCTCTGCTTGTTTAGAGTTTTGTAGCAAGAATACTTATTGCTGTGATTGAGGCCCAAACATATACACACTAATATATGGCCCCTGATATACATAACTGGCTATAAGATGAAAATTAATAAGCCCGCATTCTACAATTGGTAGATCTTCTTTGATTATTAGGCCCATTTAGCTAAATGTTCCTTAACAATGTGAACACACACACACACACACACACACACACACACTTAAGTGTTTGGTTGAAAACTTTGGCCATTTTAATATATTACTCAATAATTATAGAGTTTTGACATAGAATTTAAAAGTTTGGCACATCCCACTACATTAAATGTGGATGAGTAATATTATCTATACTTACATATAAAATAAGATAAAATAAAATAAAGAATAAAAATGTCAAATGTATTCAATTTTATATACATTTTTTCTATATTTATTATATTCAATTTTTAATTTTACATTTATCAACTACTGGGGAAGAGTTTGGGCAAATTTTGTTTTAAGTCGCATTAAAGTCTATTATATAATCTTATAGTGGTGGGGTACACAATCTTTTCTCTCTCTCCAAAATTGGGCATTCAAATCTCAGCTCAAGTGTGAACGCGAGAGTGCCCCAACTTATGCTATAAAATGAGAAGTAACTGAAATTAGTAATTACATGTGCATGAAATTAATAAGGATTCTCACTTAACATTTTGGGACATTTTTAATTTCAGAGATTACACAAACATTCATTTAATGTAGAAGACTCAAGGTAGTGTGTATCATGCATGATACAGTGTCTTGCCATCAATACATGACATCTTCGAGATAGATTTGAAATAAAATGCCAATTTTTTTAATGTTTTTTTAACCTCAATTTGCCTAATTTAATTAAATGCACCACATATGGCACTTGGAACCTATAAAAATGTGACACTTGTCATGTAGGTTTACAAGACCTTGACATTAATTTTGAAATCCAACCAAGCATCTTTAAAATAGATTTATATTGTGTTTGACAGAGTGTGAAATTGGCATTTTGAAATTGAAATTGAAAATATATATATATATATATATATATATAGTTAAAAATAACTTGGATAATGGTAACACTTTGCATATTTATTACAGTATCGTAAAATAATGAGTAGGTGACACTATAATTCCCGCCGTAAATAAAATTTTTTTAGCTCGGTTAGTAACAACAAATGTAATGTATGTATACGAATTCCTACTACAAAATAAACATTTGTCTTTTATATTGGTCCCACAAGACGTAAATAAGGTTGCTCCCCCTTAATTAACCATCATTTTCTTGTGTTCATGAGAATATTTTGAACATTCCATCACATATTATAGTGAAACCTGTACATTTTAGATATTTATACAAATATTTTAATATAATTTAATATATATTTTTTTGTAAAATAAAAAAAAGATTTTTCCAATAGAAAAGTAGAATCCAAATGAAGAAGAATAGCCAATATTCTTGAAATAATATATATGTGAGACTCATATAAATATATTTATTGATTATTTTCCTTAAATTTTTACCAATTTGACTCAAGTATATTAAGCATTGCCCTTTTGAAAAAACGAGTCATGCAATTTGGACACACGCGCACACAATTCAGTTACACATATACACATACGTGTGTGTATACTGTTTGCGCGTATATATATATAGATTGTAGAGTATAGACAGACACACAAGCTTCAGCTCTTCTTTTCTGGAGACATGTCGCCGGAAAATCTTTCCGTCGGTCACTCTGTGTAACCGCAGGCGAATGTACGTTCTCTTTAAACTCTATTAACAGTTTCAATTTCTAGAATTAGTGTTTCATTGTTGTCTCCATCGTTGATTTCGCAATTCATTGATCGTCTCCATTTATTTCTCTGATTGATTGTTTAATGCATTTTAATTATGTATATCTATATATTTTTACTGAATTAAAATTCAAATCACATAGTTTTTGAACTTCGATGACTGTTTAATGTTCAGATGTTAGGTTTTGTTGTTGTTTGCCGTTGAGAACAAGCTTTGAGCTCTGTTATATTTTTTTTGATGTTTTGCATGGTTGGTGGAATTGGATTTTTGCAGGTAAAACGGCGTCGTAAAGGCTGTGGATTGTTGGAGACGGTAGAGTGGTGAAAGAGCTTGACGGATTTCAAGGAGGCCATTGCGATTGTCGAGTGAGCTGAGTCAGTGAGTCCGCTTTGATCAAAAGTACGAGTTGGATTCGCGAGCGAGAAAATGGTAAGCTCTAAATTCTGGTTGAGGCGTTTCCATGCAAATGCTGTGTTGTTTTAAGGGCTTTTTAATGGTTTTTTGCTTTAACAATTATGTTCTCTGTGTGTGTTCCTGTTGTCTGTATAATTTTGACATTTTTGTTCTTTAGTTGCTTGGTTTTCTGAATTGGTAATAGATTGTCTTTATTTATTTCTATTTATTTATTTATTCTGTGGAAGACTTTGCAACACAATTGATTTACACACCTGAGCTTGGTTGAATGGTGTCATTGGCATTGATTTTGAGATTGGGATGGAAAAAGTTTCCATTTAAACCTATATCATGCTCCTAAGTATTAGTTTGTGGTAATTCAGCCTATGATTCTAGTAGTTTTATATGTTATTTTAATAATTGTTTTGCATTGCTAGATCTTTAGAAACTATAATTTAGATGTTTCAATATCTTCCTTATATTTTTAGTCTAAATAATTTTCCTCATAGATTGTTTATCGACATATTTTCTATTCTATTAGATCTTTTAATGATGTAGTGATGGTTGTCTTACCATGTGGATATTCTTAGCTGAGAGGTTCTTGAAAGGTAACATGAGCATTAATAATTGGTGATAGAACTCTTAATGAGGAAAAACGATGAGAGCTTGGCACACACGCGCCAAACACACAGACACACATGCGCCAAACACACAGACACACACAGATAGAGAACAAGGACATTACCCAGTTATAGTCTGGTTGCAGCAGATCCTGGGGAGGGAGGACTCGAGACAGACCTAGCCTTCGGTGTTTCACAAAGTGGTTGCTCTAAGGCGCTAAATATGTATGAAAATATATATATATTACTGAAGGGGTCATGTTAAAATTAGTAAAGGAGTTATGTTGATGGGAAAAAATTAAGCCATTCTGCATAGTAACACAGAGATGTCAAATCTAATTCAAGCACGTTATACTGCTAGTTAATTGGATTTGGGCCAACTAATTTTGCAAACTGGTTAAATTTGAGTAGGTTGGTAATGGGATTAGGTTCTTGGATAGCTTGACCAGAAACCATTTCCTTATTATCTCCAAAATATATGCATGAGTTTTACATTTGAACATTTTAGAAGCTTTCAACAAAATCTTTAATTTACACATAACAGACATGTGAAGAAAAAAAGAACTAATAAGTGGTTTGCAGTTTTGAAATCAAGCTTGCAAGTAATGGAACAATAAATGTTTACAAGTTTCCCTGAATCAAGTAAGCATAAGATCTTATCGATCAGTTGCTGTGAGTTAAATAAGAATAGATATATACCTTGCTTACTGTTGGAGATCATAATGTTAGTTCTGCTAGAAAGCACATAATCAGTCCCAGTGAGATACACATACATAGATAATGTATAAGGCACGTTCTTGTGAGATTGTTGTTAAAGTATCAAGATAATGCTTGTCTCTGTATCCACTATAAATCATAGTTCCTATCAAGATAATGCTTGTCTCTGTATCCACTATAAATCATAGTTCCTTTCTGTTTATAATGTACAAGACACATTTTCCTGTATCGGGATTAATTTACCTAACTAAAGTAGTCAAACCCTGTCTATTCTAGTTTGAGATTCTTTTCTTTTAAGTGGCCGCCTTATTTTTCGGTGTGCTTGTTGATATGGAATTGAAACTCCTACATCTTATAAACTTACCGGCTTTCGTTCATGCAAACTAGTGCTTATTGGGCTTTAATATATTTTCCATGTTTCTGTATTTGGAAGGTTGGATGGTAGCTTGTTGAGTTGTTGCATTGAAATTAAAGATGTGTTTCATTATACGGTACTTCAGACAATGTTGCATGGCCTGAGGTGTATGTATTAAATGTGGGTGAATGTTTCAGTGTTGCATTTACCTAATCTCCGAATCTTAGGACATGCTGACACTGTCTAAATTGTTAGAATGTTTAATTGCTATCTTACTAAACCCACAGGGAAAATCTGAAATGGAATATTTTGTTTATATTGAAATATCCTAGCAACAAAGCAGGTTAAGGACTGCATGGAGAGATTATGAAGAAGAAAAATGGGGGAAGAGAACAGAGAGTTTTTCTAATTCATTTCTTGCAAACAATTTTTAAGAATGAACCAAACATATTTTTTACCTTGTTTTCTGATTTTTTATAGTTCCAAAAAGCTGTTTGTAAAACTGTGTCAAATGGGCCAAATTTGATTGTTTAGATCTCAGAATGGAAAGGAGTGAGAGTTTTTAATTGGATTATCCTTGTGGCCTGTCAATGAGATTTGAAAATAGATACCCCAGGAATCTATAACTTTCTAATGCAATCTATTAAACTGAAATCAAAACTGAGTCCTAAAGTTGCCCAAGGTTTATCTTTAGGTTTGAAATTGGTTGCGGTATAAGTCATTTCTGCGTACACTTAGACACCATGCACATAAACACCCCCACAGAGAGGGAGAGATCATATGATCTACAAAAAGGTAGAAGAGGAAGGAGGAGGATAGCAGCAGATACCTGCTAGAGACTTTTATGCTTACTGAGGATGTAAATGGGCTTTGTATAGATGGTTGAGAGATTGTTAGCGATGGGATGTTACAGAATAATGTTCTTAATATTATACGGGTAATGGTTTTACCTCACGTCTCAACATGGGAAGTAAGCCTGTAGGATTTGCCAAATATCAAGCTTTTAGAATGTAAATTCAAATATCATAACCCAAGTAATTTTGGGTTCATAGAGATTCTAGAATCTAGGAAATGTACTAATGAGCAGCTTAGAATATTGAAAACATAGAAATATTGATCAGTTGACATAAAAATGTCAACTGATCAAGGTATTGTGGCTATTACGTTCAATGCAGTGGTACCCCACCTCTACATACATTATAAAATGTTACTATATCAGTGAAGGTAATCCACAAGACATATATTTTCCCAGTGAGTGATTCCACTGATATATTATTGATTGCGTCTTCACCATTAAGTGACAACTAATTGCAAAAAGAAAAATTGAAACACGTTGCTTTTGGACAATCCACATTATATGTAGACAATGTAAAATAGTTTCATTTGAAAAAGGTGACATTTTGAAAATTTGTTTTAGGTGCTGACTCTAGTGGACTTTGTGATTATATACATTTGGCATGTAATGAGTCATCTTCATTTTATGGAAATTCTATAAAATAAAAATAAAAAAACCCACCCAAAATTAGAGAAAGAGTTTTATTTTCATTTCTTTTGTAAATTTCTCAAATTCGTTGTTGATATTATCATTTGAACATGTTGATTGATATCGTTGATTCCAATTTAGAAATGATATTTTCATTTAGAAATATTATAATTCAATGATTTAGATAAAGTAGGTGCCTTAATTCCTTCCATCATACATCTTTTCACCTGATGGCATTGCCTTATTTTTAGTTTAGCTTTTGAAGTACACAATCTCTTATATCCATGCACATAGTTTTTCTTTTCTCTATTTTTCAATTTCGTAATTCTTGCGGAATGGCGCACACATCGGGCATGTGAGAAATTATTTTTAGGCCTAGTTATTTGGGAAAATTACCGAGAAGTCCTCCTTATTCCTTTTACAAACGAATGTCTTATCAAATTTCAATAAAACCAGCGAGTCATACATTTGGTAAGTGTTTCCATATTAGTTCTAATTTTCTAAATCTCTCAAATTTTCTGATTACCCTTGTAATTTGTAATTATAATTTATTTCTTTATTTTTTTGGTTTCTAGTTCGTCAATGCTTTAAAAAATTGTCTTTAAAAGTACTAAATTTATTTTATCATTTAATTTATTTATAGTAAATCAATTAATATTATGTCACGAGTTTTAATAAATTATAATTAATATAAATTTAATTCTTTTTAGAAAATCTTGCATAGAAATTACGTAATTTTATTTAGAAAATTGTATTTTGTTGGTTTTTGTTTTTTGGGTTTGTTTGGGGTTTAGTGGGTTATGCCCGGTCTACCAAAGGTTTGATTGAGGCTTAGAGAGGTTGTATAGTGGGGGCCCAAGTTTGTAACTTCTAGAGGGTTACGCCTTTGTGCATATTGTGGTGTCTATGGCTTGAAAGAAATAGAAGATCCTTTCGAAGGAAAGGAAAATCCTATTGGAATGTTAAATTTCTCCATTCTTAGTACTCTTTTTTGTTGGGTTCTAGGGAGAAATTGTAAATCCATGGATGAGCTTGTAGAGTTTTTGGATTTGTTGAGGGTATAGAGGCCCTATTTGGCCTTGTGTAGTTTCTTGGGATGTGTTCCCCTTTTGAATGCTTCTTATGCAATTATTACTTATAAAAAAAAAAAAAAAAAAAAAAAAAAAAAAAAAAAAACAGTTAAAGTATTTAAAATAACAAAAAAATTGCTAATAAGAAAATTTTAAACATGTTCAGATCAACCAAGAGATTGAATTTCATACTAGATTTTAAAAAACATTCAATTCGGTAGGGGTATGGGTAGAAGATTGTGTGATTAGAACTTTTGTGGAAGAAGGTTTCAAAAGTAGGGCTTACTGATCTTATTGAAAAACCTTACTTGTCTTTAGAAAGGAGAAATGGACTTATTGGTAATTTTCCCTAGTGATTTCCATAGTGATAGGGGCCGGCCATTGCTTGGTACAATGGTAAAAACTTAGGTTGACAAGCATGAGAACGTGAAGTAGCCCGCCACAACACCATGTAATGGTATCTCCATATTGGTATATTCAACGAGCGGCTATGTTACGTGGACTCTTCAAAAGCAGTGAAGTACCCATGTTGGACACATATTACTTGGACATGGGTATGGGATATGTGTCCGACACTTTTGGTTGGACATTTACTTACAAAGTATATCCAATCATTCAATTTTGTTATATTATTACTTTAAAATGAGTTAAATGCCTTTATTGAACACTTTGTTACATAAGAACATTACTTTATTCTAGAAAATAAAATAAAATAATTAAATAAAATGAATATTTAGCATTGCCAATGTGTCCTTCTATTTGGAGATTTGACACTTCTGACATATGGATACGTACCCGTACCCGACACACGTACCCGAGTCCATATAACATAGATGAGTGGTAGTATCATTATCTTGTGGACTGGAGGAGGTGATTTTCTCATCTTGCTTTACTAATATTCTATCTGCTGTTTTGGTTGCAAGAGAAAGAAGATTATTGTCAGCACAAAATGCATAAAATGACCAGTCCAAGAGCCCTCCTTTTTCTGATAAGTTTTTATATAATAACTTTGACAAGTATTAGCATAACAGTGATAGTATTAGATGTAGTTGAGAAGTTCTTAATTACTAAGCATTTGTTTGGTGGTACCTCCTCCATCTTCACAGCGGAATTTGAGAGGTCTAGTCCCAATTAGGACCAAGTCTGTATGTGTATCATTATATATATATATATATATATATTTTTGGTGATATGTAAGAGTTAAGACAGTCGCACACCTACTTTTCCCTTCCGAAACTTGAACCCTCAACCTTCTCTTTTTTTAAGGCAGAGGAGATACCACTCAAAGCAATCCACCTACCAATAAAAATGTAGTTGGAAAGTTTGCAGAGGAATGGTATAGCATTTAAATTGAAAAGTATATTAGTTAATTGTTTAACTTGTTTTTCCACTTCCTCAGATGTAATTAGAGTGAATTACCCAAATCTCATTGCAAGATGTTAGCTAAACTGATGATCTAAAGGAATTAATGGCTTGAGTCTCAACAAAACTTTGACTGATAACATCTAGCATTGCTAAAGATCGACACTGGGATTCTTCTCTTAAACACGTCATAGATAGATTTGGTTTAGTTACCGACTATTCAGAACTTAGATACCATATGTATACATTGCCTTCTAATGTTAAATTTTCAGGAACTATGTGGGAATGTGCTTCATTGAAATCATTTGTTGATCAGGATGCTTGGGGCTGTACATTTTTTATTATTATCCTCAATCATAGAAGTAGTGTGTCTAGGTTCCATTGTCTTCACTGTGCATTGTGCGGTTTCCATGTTCCTAAAACTTTTGTAAGGAATGGAATTAATTGCGGTTGGATTTGTATGATGGAATTTTGCAGGGGACATTTTAGATCACAACGTGATGACGGGGAACCTGATTTTGGCCAAAATGGTATTCTTATTTGCTTTAGAATGAAAAACTTAATGTTTTTTGTCAATGCCTTTGATGATCTGTCCATAATTAGTGAATTTGCTCAGTCACATCAGGAACTGCATATTAGGGAGTTCTTAAATTACCATTGTAAAGATATGAAGGTGGCCTCTGAGAGATTTTAATATTCTACTACCATTTAAGGAATATTCATCATACGTTTTGTACAAAGAAGCTTCCATTTCATATGTACATTATGTAAGTAAATATGCTAGTTGGTTACCATATGTGTGTTCCCTTGTTTATTTGTGCAAACAATCTTAAAAAATTGTGCTCGAGGATTTGGCTAAACTGGTTTGAATATAGGTGCAGGCTTTAAGGAAAAAATTTCATTACGACAATGTTATGAGAGGAAAGAAAGAGATCTCCCTGTCAGCACAAAATCTTTCCAATTCTTCCCACCAGATATTTTTTGTTTTCTTTGTTCAGCAATAGTTAGAAATCTGAAAGAACAACAAAACATATGTGATTGACTATGGAAAGTATCTTAGGCGAAAATCTGAAAGGGTCTCTATGACTCGGTCTTTATTTCATTGCAGACATACATATTCACTCTTTTAAAGTAGCGTAATCTACTGCTGGGTGCTACCTTGAAAGTTTGTCTGACATTTGAGGTAGCATGAATCAAACTCTACTGACTCAATTTCTATTTCACTTTGGATATATGAAATGCTGATAGGATTTTCATAAATATATATATTTTTTAAATGAAAAATGATAGGTCTTCCGACGTTAATTGTCAACTCTTCTACGAATATAACGTGGTTGGATCCCATTGGAACTCTTAAAAAAATTCCCGTAAACATCTCTTTCTATTCCACTCATTCCCAACCACGTTATATTCGGAGGAGTAGTCGGCAATTGAAGTCGGAAGATCTATCACTTCTCTTTTTAAACTTTTCTTAAGTGCTCTTGATTTGTCTATCCTTATTTTTCTTTCTTTCTTTCTTTCTTTTCCTTTTTTTTTTTCTTTTACTTCTGTGGATGCGTTTATCATTTTAAAGATTAGGTAAATGTATTTGTTTCATTTCTGAAACTACTCAAAGCCGTATGATCTAGTAACTTCTGTTACCCAATTAGTGTAATACTATCCTAAATGTATGTTTTTGCAGTCTTTCCAGAACAATAGCTTTTGGATGGCACAGGATGCAGGGTGTGTAACTGATGGAGATATGGGTTATAATACTTCCTCAAGAATAGAACTGAAACGTTCTCTTGTAGATGCTTCTGAACCTGAATTATTCTGCAACAAGAAGCAAGCAATAGAAGCTATTGACAGCGGACCAATGTCAGGAATTTCTAATGTGAATGTTTCTCTATGGGAGAAAACTTCCAATTTTCAAACATTTCCAGCGCAGTTTACCAACCACCTATTTGGATCTGAGCCTATAAGGAATTTCAATCCTGTTGGTAGGAACATTTCATCTCTTGGTACTGGAAATTTGAATCTGGAAAGAAAGGGTTTTGAGAATCAATTTGGGAATGAGTCCTCGATTGGCTTATCTCTATGGAATACTAAGAAAGATCCCTCTTCATGTCTCAATTATGCTGGAATTGGAGAAGTTAAAGTCAATCATGTCGGGTATTACAACAATGAGATGCATGTACCAATGGGACACCCCTATACCAGAGTGGATAACAACAATGAGATGCATGTACCAATGGGACACCCCTATACCAGAGGGGATACCAATACAATTTCAGTGGACACCACCTATAATAGGAGTGCTTACAACATATCTTCTGGCCCAACTTATTATAACGGCGATGAGAGTACCATTTCAACGGGCCCCGCCTTTACTAAAGCAGGCGACAATTTCATTTCTACGGGTCATGCTTTCAACAATAGAGATGGCAATTTCATGTTGATGGATCATAATTATAACAAGGGAAGCAACAGTGTCTTAGCAATGGTTCAGCCCTTTGACAAGAGAGACGGCAATTTTATATCTACAGGTCAGCGCCATGAGAAGCGACATGACAATATCACATCAACCGGTCCTGCTCATAGCAAGGGTGATGAGAATTTCATTTTGATGGGACCATCCAATAATAAAGATGATGAAAATTTCATTTCATTGGGTCCCTCTTATGCAAAGGGGAACAATAATGTCATTTCAATGGGTCCAATCCCTGACGGGGATTCCAACATGCTTTTGGGTCAGAATTACAACGAGGGTGAGAGCGGTACAATGTCTTTTGGTGGCTTTCAGGATCAACCTGGGAGAAATCCTGCAGTAAGGATCATTAACAGCTGTGACTTGTTGCCGAGCCAAGCTTCAGCTCAAACTTCTGAAGCAGCAGGACATAAAGTTTCTGTTGAGTGCAATGATGATCCAATTGCAAGTGTTACTCCAGCAGCTATTTCTCGGAAAAACACCATCTCCAAGAATAAGGAGAAAAAGATGCCTAAAAAGGTACCTTCAAACAACTTCCCTTCGAATGTCAAAAGCCTACTATCAACCGGTATGTTTGATGGAGTTCCTGTGAAGTACGTTTCCTGGTCACGGGAGGTGAGTTGTGAATCTTGTTTTCTAATCCATTCTAATTATTTTTTCTTATTCTGATGCACGGTGAAATGATCTGCATGCAGAAGAATGTTGTAGGAGTTATAAAGGGGAATAGTTATTTGTGTGGCTGCCGTGATTGCAAGTACTCCAAGGTAAGAAGTACTTCATTTTCTTTTTAATTTTGTAAAGCAAATCCAACAAGGAAATGTTCAATTTGAGTTTCATGACTAACTGGTTATTCAATTGTTTTATGCAGGCTCTCAATGCTTTTGAGTTCGAGGGTCATGCTGGTTGCAAGACCAAACACCCGAATAACCGCGTGTACTTCGAGAATGGAAAGACCATCTACCAAGTGGTTCAAGAACTGAAGAATACTCCTCAGGACAAGTTATTTGAAGTAATTCAAAACGTGACCGGATCTCCTATCAATCAGAAGAATTTCAATATCTGGCAAGGTGAAGTGATCACTTTTTTTCTGTTGATTTCTAGAAACTTGTTTAAAACAAACAGGAGAACATAATGTTGTGAGTCTTGTGACAATTTTCTTAATCTAACTAACATCAACATGCAGTTCTCTATTTTCTCTAACATTAGTTTTTCATTTTTACTCTTCTCATCAGCATCATTTAAAGCTGCAACCCGTGAACTTCAGCGTATTTTTGGAAAGGATGAAGTGAAGACACCGGCTTGATAACAGAATCGCCTACTAATCTGCTAGGTTGGTCAATACCTGGAAAGGGCATAGCTATGATATTTCATTATTGAAAATTTTAAGTTTGCCGTTCTAGATAGTTTGGCAAAGGATTGTTATTGTTACTTTAGCTTTAATCTTTTCAATAAGACCTTAATTTTATTCTGGTTTTTGGACAAAATTATTATCTGTTCTCCATTAGAAGTAAGATTTATCAATTTTGATTGTGCCTGAAATGCTAAACATTTATATCAAAGCTCAGAACCATCTTCCATTAGTTTGAAACATGGAGATATCCCAGGTTGTTGGTGTAGATATTGGGTGAGCCAAATGCAATCAGAGTACACCATTCAGTGATGGGTCCATTCAAATACGAAAACTTCCCTCAACTAATTGGAATGGTGTATTCTGATTGGTTGGGCATACTATTGACATTCTTCTCCAGGTGTTGGTTTGTGTCGGGATCTAAATATGCCCTTTTGGGGGTGTAGTAATCTATCTGATGGGGTTTAAAGACAATTATTATCTTTGTCCATTAGAAGATGTATCAATTTTGATTGTGCCTTAAATACTAAAAAATTGGATCAAAGCTCAGAACCATCTTCCATGAGTTAATTTGAACATGGCAGATATCCCAAGTGTTGGGCCGTGCAGGGACCTAGATATGCCCCTTTGGGGAGTAGTAAAATATCTTAACCTTTTAGTTACTGTCTATCCATGTCACTTTTACCATTGTCTTTTCTTTTTGCCCTTTTTTTTATTTGGATAAGTTGACATTTACTACCTAGTGTTGGGTTGTGCTGAAATCTAAGTATGCCCTTGGGGAGTAGTAAAATAAAAAATTAAAAAAAATCTATGTTATGGGGTCTAAATAAAAATAAGCTGGATGTATATTTTTAGATGATACATTGATACTAGTTATGACTCACAACTACAAAACTATTTAACTTTCTTTGGCTATGTTGCTATAGTTTTGTACATTAATAATAATAATAATAATAATAATAAGCATTTTTTTTTTTATAATTAAATGATAATACGTGTATTATGCAATTCAACTAAAAAATACTGAGATGCATTTGATTTGTAACTCGAACAGTTTTTTGAAAAACATAAAACTGTACAAAAAATTTTACTTGGTTCGGTTTTCTGAAAACTTAGTTATAAAAATGTCTGTTTTCAAAAAATTGTCTTTTATTGTTCTCTGAAAACTGTTTTTTCTTCTCTGAATTTTTGAAAATTGTTTTCAGAATTACAAACCAAACATGCTGGGAGTATTTTTCTTTTCTAGCAAACGGAATTTAAAAAAAAAAAAAAAAAAATTATATCTGTTGTTATATATATAGCATTTTTCCTTATAATTAAATGACTAAAGACTGATTTATCATTTATTTCTACATAAAAAAAAATAATAATAAAAATAAAAAATGTAAATGTAAAGGAATTATATACTTAATACCAATATTTTTCTTTTTCAGCAAACGGAATTTAAATAAATAAATAAAAATTATACACGCGTACCTGTACACATTTTTATGAACCATGCTCGATATAATAATACAAATGCGAAATCTGCCAATAAAGTGTGGTAGAAAAAAGTGAACAGATAATGACGAACTTAATAGAACCATTGAACCATAAAAGCGCGCCAAAAGGAGGAAATTATTGAAGTAAAGCCAATTTACTAATACAGAAAAATGTCATCCAATATCTTACAGATGAACTGCACTTGAACACACTTTTATTCTTAAAACAAACTGGGATTGTATAGACTTGTACCACTTGGCAGTTTGTGCGACAAGAACAAACACAAAGAAAGAGCAACCACCAATTTCTTTGCTGAATAGCCTAGATAAAACAGGCACTCACTACTTGTGAAACATTTGTGTATAGTTTACTATTGTTAAAATTGGTTTTGATTGGGATTGGAAGACTTCAAGAAGGATTTTCGATTCGTTGAGGTTGGACAGCTTGCTGAACAAGTTCAGTCTGCTCCTTCACATGGGCCCCGTAGAAACCTGTGGCAGTGGCAGCAGAAGGAGCACGGCCGACATATTTGATGTCCTCAATGGTGCCCCGGCCCACTGCTTTCATCGCAGTACCAAGACGGGGTGAAATGTAGCTATATGCACCCATGTTCATTGGCTCTTCCTGGCACCAAACAATCTCTGCATCTGAAAGAATCAACAAGGATTGTAAAACAAAGTCAGAAACATGATTTTAACACGTAACAGAACAACAATGAATTTCACTCACAGATCACTACTAGTCCCAAAGACCATATCAACAATTGGGCAGTCTTTAAACTCCTAAACTAGTAATCTTCAGAATATCATACAAGTCATCTAAAAACCTTTGAAGGGGGAAAACATTACTCTTGATTTTCTCTAAAGATTTATCTGAATCATAAAGGTCTGGCTTTATTTTGGCATCATAATAGAGGATTGGGTGAGCCGGGCATACCACGTCATTGGTATGCCCACCCAATTAGTATACACCATTCAAGTTAGTTGAGGGAAGTCTTTTCATTTGAGTGGGGGTCCAATTCATTGATCAGTGTATTCTCTGATTGGGTAGGCATGCCAATGACATGGCATGCTCGGCTCACCCAATATCTTCAACAGGTCATATCTGCCTCCATTCATTTTTTCATTATAAATCGAATTGCAGCATCTGCACGCCCAGATGTGCAGATGTCAAAGAGGACGAGGGGTGTCTTGACATGTTGACCATAATGTCTGAAATTGTTCTAGATACACCGCGGCTGCAAAAATTATTTACACACACCAATAGACAAATAAATTAAAAACAATTTTTATGTGCTCTGGAAAAAGTGGCTACTCCTAATGATCCATGGAGCCAAAAGACAAGGAACATTAATGGTAACCTCTCCTTCAGTTGCAAATAAAATCTGCTGTAAAATACATACTTGGGTATCGCTTCAATTCACGCTGGACTAGGTCGTATGGGAATGGACAAAGCTGTTCCACCCTACATATTGCAATGTCCTTGCCATTGATTTTCTTCCTCTCTTCATCGAGCTCATAATAAACCTTGAATATCGAATACAGTATTATTTAGAAATTTGAATTTAGTAACAGAACCAACAGGGGATGAAAAAAACCAAAATAAAAAAAAATAAAAATAAAAATAAAAAAAGGAATTCAACTGCATAACATGCAATAACTTTGATGCTCCACAATTCAATAAAACATAGTCTCTCAGTTTTCCTTTTTTCTTTTTTCTTTTTTCTTTTTTAAAAATATTTTTCAGTCGGCTTGATAATCTCATGTTCCTTTCAATTCTCTGTGCAAGCATATACGTGTTGTTTGACCGTAAGAATGTGCATGTGTGCATCTACATGGGTTGCATTCACAAAGTGGGAGTTTAAATGAAAACCTACTGTCTACAAGGTATATTATATATTAGGTCAACCCTCATAGTACATAACAAATGTAGATTATATATATCTACAAGGTATATCATGTATTAGGTCAACACTCATTCTATTGAGTAAGTAATAAATGTAGATTATACATATATATTAATATATATATATATATATACACACACACACAGACAGTTACACACCTTCCCAGAGCAAAGGATCAGACGTCTAATATACTTCTCAAGATCTGAGTGGTCGTTCTGGTCCTTTATAAGGCGCTTAAATCTGGTCCCTTGTTTGTCGAAACCTGGGTGGCCTTGGACATCATCAAACTCAGATAGATTTGATTTGCAGTCCTTATGTCGAAGCAAGTTCTTCGGAGACATCACAATGAGAGGCTTACGGAATTCCCTGTGTATCTGGGAGATAAAGGCATAATATATAAGATAGTGAAGAAAATGGTTCACAAGCTTTAAGAAATGTATAACCCAATAAGCTGCACTCACTTGGCGCCGCAAAACATGGAAATAATTTGCTGGAGTTGTTACATTCACAACTTGCCAATTGCATTCCTGGATCTGCTTACGAAGTGTTGTATCCATCTCTGGTATAACATACGGATTATCATCACTCATCTGCAATAAAAAATTTCTAGCATACATTAATCAAGTTCTGAGCACAATTACATTGACCTGGAGAACGGGACTGAATTAATTACAATCCAACACTAGCCATATCAAGGAATTTGGAACTGTAAAAAGGAAGTACAGAAAAAGACCAAACTATGCAATGAAGTGTTTTTGATGAAGTAAGAATCAGATCCAACTTTGAGGATTCTTGTACAGTTCTCAGTATCAAAACTCCAAATGGATAGATTTAGAAAAAGTAAATTCACTTAAAAAGAGTTCTATTCTTTGAATTTCTTTCCCAAATCATCCTTGATGATGTTCAAGGGAAATCAGTGTAAAAAATATCAGCAGAACCATAAATCATTATATATTATAAGTAGACAAGTATTTCTATCGGTAAATTAATGGAACTCAGGTCTAGGTTTCTTTTGATACTCAGGATACAATTTTAGGTTCCGTCCACAGAACTAGCATGTGTATATTCCCTAGCTGTGTGTGTGTGAGAGAGAGAGAGAGACCAAAACATAAGGGTATGTTAACAGATAAGAGTCATGAATTCATATGTAGGATCAACTGTAAGGCAACACCTGAAGGAAACGCTCCAATCGTGCACTTGAATGTTCAGGGCCCTGGCCATCATAACCATGAGGTAGCAGGAGGACAAGCCCAGTTTGACGCAGCCACTTCGCCTCCCCACTACTCAAAAACTGATCGAATATCACTTGAGCTCCATTAGCAAAATCACCAAATTGAGCTTCCCAAATTACCAACGCGTTTGGATTTTCCATTGAATAACCCAATTCAAATCCCACAACACCAAATTCTGAAAGAGAGCTGGAAGGGAAAGAAAAATATATGTTCTATTGATTAGGAATAAAATTTTTGTCAATGAAGCACCAATTTTCACTAGTATGATGTGTCTCAGATGCCATACTAACACTGCAGTATGTTATGTCCCTAATTAGGAGGAAAAACATTCTACATCGCAAAGTATTAGTGTGTAACCAGTAGAGATAAGCAGATGACTGTACTTTGAGTCACATAAATTGTAAGAAAACTCTCTAAACCATATGAATGTGCATTGGAAGATATACAGGATACAGGAATTAAGTTAAAGCACTCGTATTTCACTTTCAATAAGAAAAGAACCCATTCCATCACACTTCTGCAGAATGAGAAAATTTTGGGGTGCTGCTATTCCTGGGACTATCATACAAATCTATATATATATATATATATATATATATATATATATATATATATATGTATATATATATGCAAAAAATTACATAAATTTAAATAGAGGAAAATACGTCTGAGGTTTAATAATCCTAAAAGGACCACTCCACACGAGCAACAAACAAATTATAAGTTATAGCTAGTTTGGCAAATGTGTTTTTAAAAGCTAAAAGCAATTCTCTAGCATTTATGGTCAAAAAGGAGGGTAAAACAAGAGGGCAATGAAACCAATATTAACATTGCAGCATGCATGTCCTTAATTACAGGGAATAACATTTTTCATTGCAAAATATCAGTGTGTAACCAGTGGAGATGAGTAGATTAGTGTAGTGAGTCACATAAATTATAAGAAAAATCTCCAAACCGTATGAATGTGCACCTGGAAGATAAACAGGATGCAGGAATTAAGTAAACGTGGCTATTTCACTTTCAGGAAGAAAAGAACCTATTCCATCACCCACTTTTGCAGAATGAGAAAAGAAATTGTGGGGCACCTGAGAGACATCCATTCCATGGATTATCTTACAAATGTGTAATCATATAATGATATAAATAAAAATTTAAGTAAATATCTTTTGAGGTTAATAAATCCCAAAAGGACAACCCTACACCAGCAGCAAACAAATATTCCCTCCATCCCAAACTTCTTGTCCCTCCCAACTCTTTCAAGGGGAAACACATTTAATGCAGTTTCCCCTTTTGAAATTCCAAAACTGCCCACTTAATTTTAAAGGTTATATTGTTGGTTGGGAAAAGTTTTCAAAAGTTCAGGATATTTTGGGAAATATACAATTTTTCTACATTTGACTTTTCAAATATGAGATGATTTTGTTTTCCCTAATAAGTCAAATGGGAGATAAATTTTGGGACATCCAAAAATAAAATAAAAAAACAAGAATTTTGGGAGGGAGGGAGTATAAGTTATAGCTAATTTAGCAAATGTACTTTTAAAAACTAAAAGCAAATCCATGGCATTTATGTAAAAGGGAGGACAATGAAACCACTACAACTTCTTCTCAAAAAGGAAGATCATTCACTCCACTCAACAGTTTAATAATCAATTTAAAGTAGTTGTTTTTTGACGGAAAAAAAAAAAAAAATAGCCTTACCCTAAAATGTAAATAAATAGTGATCATAGAAACTTTCCACAATAACCTGCCTTAGGTTCCTATATTTCCTTTAATTTTGTGATGTAGCACTTAATACATTTGATGTTTTATGACCTAATATTCTAATTTTGGAGTCTTTACCACAGTAATACTTGTACTTTATATCATACCATATTGTTAATTCAAATGTAAACTAAAATGGGTAACCAAGGTTTACGTTTGGGTGACATGACAAAATAACACCACCACCCACCATGAATTAGTACAAATTTCAACTGTGCAATATGCCAAAGCTAAAGACATTTGCTAAGAGAACATGAAATAACTAATTGAATAATCAATCTGGGCATTCACTTGATGGCTATTAACAGGGGAAACAAACTTTCTACTATAGAGATAAACGTCACAACGGAAGATGGTTCAGTTCAACCATAACCACAAAATCATGTAACATAGCACCACCTCTCCAGCTCTTTAGTGCTTTTATCACCTAATTTTAATGATGTTGGTAGCGATAATTTTGTGATTATTGATGACATTAAATTTTTTACCAATGTATAATCTTTGTTCCAGATGAATGTACATGGTACTTCTCCAACAATCCAACAACATACAAAATGAGATTCACAATAAAAAAAACATACTGTAAAAAGAAAATACTGTGACGAAATGTTAAATACAAGTAAAGGTAGATATACCACCGGCATTTACCTGTTACTTACAGTAAACATCTCCTCATTTTGGTTCATGATAACATGGTCCAAAGGACAGTACTGCTCCCCTGTTTCCTGATCATGGACTACAGAATGGCGATGACTAAAAGTACCCCTCTCGACATCTTGACCGCTCAACCTGACATGATTCCCTTCTACAAGTAGTGTCGCAAAAGCAAGTGCTTCCCCAACTGCCCAGTCAATGCCTTCCCCTGTTTCAATCATCCGTGCACGGTCTGCAAAAATTTTCTTTACCGCCCTGTGAGGCTTAAAATTCTCTGGAAGGGTTGTGATTGCTTTGCCAACATTCTTTAAAATCTCTGGTTTTACCCTGTAGAGCATATAAATCTAAGCAAAATCCAGATGCTTGGAACACTCAGCGATGACCACTAAAAAAGCTGAGGTAACGCCATTTGAAAACTGATAGAAAACTGAAAAACACACAAGACATACCCAGTGTTTCGGACACGTGAAAGCTGTTCAGGGGACTTAAATCCAGCCCAATACGCTGAAAGCCAGTCCCTTCTTCGTGTTACATAATCCTTGCTGGCCAAGAATTCTTCATTAAGGATTGAACTGACCTTGCTCTGTATCCTATCAATGTCTTCCTTTGACACCTGACCAGATTCTAAAAGTTTCTTTTGGTAAATCTCAAGCGCTGAGGGATGATTCCGGATGACCTAATAGCACCAAAGCATATCAGAAATGTAAGCAATATTACTGATGCAGTCAAACAAGTACAAAAAATCATATAAATCACTTTATAAAAATAGAGAAGAGTATTCAAACTTATACAAGAAACAAACTAGAAAAGAAATATAAAAAATTAAGTGTGTTTTTGCAGAAATCTAATATAAGTGATAAATTCTAAAAAATCTAAGGAATACAATAGAGCTAACCTTATACATTTTCGGCTGTGTGAAAGATGGCTCATCAATCTCATTGTGTCCAAATCGACGATAGCACACAATATCAACCACAACATCTGAATGGAAAGTCTGGCGCCACTCTGCCGCAAGTTCACAGACATGGACGACTGCCTCCACATCATCACCATTTACATGAAAAATGGGAGCATTCAAGGCTTTGGCAACATCAGTACAATACTGTGAAGATCTCCCTGCCCTTGGATCAGTAGTAAATGCTACTTGATTATTCACCACAATGTGAATAGTCCCACCAGTAGTATAGTTAGGAAGTGCACTAAGATGCAATGTCTCATAGACTACACCTTGTCCTGCAAAGCTACCATCCCCATGTATCAAAACACCCATGTTCTTTGTCCTATCCACATCACTGGAGTAATATTGTTTTGCTCTAGTTTTTCCGACCACAACAGGATCCACGGCCTCCAAGTGACTTGGGTTCGCAACCAAAGACAAATGGATTCTTTTCCCACCCCTAGTTGGCCGATCATAAGAAGTTCCCAAGTGATACTTGACATCACCAGTTCCGGTGTAAAGGCCAACTTCATCCACAGGTTTTGTACCGCCGCTAAACTCGCTAAAGATTTGACGTAGCGGCTTCCGAACAACATTACCCAAAACATTTAATCTTCCTCTATGAGACATTCCAATAACTATGCTCTCAACCCCAAGATCTGCACCCCTGTCAAACATCTCTTTCATGCCAGAAATCAGAGTCTCAGCACCTTCAAGACCAAACCTCTTTGCCGCTGTCCACTTAGTGGCCAAGAAATTCTCGAACTGCGTACTCCATATAAGCCTGTCAAGGATAACCTCGCGTCGCTGCCGATTGTATTGTGTTGGTGTTGGGGTCTCAATTCTGTCTCTCAACCAGTTACACTTTTCACGATCTGCAATGTGCATGTACTCATAACCAATGCTCCCAGAATAAGCCTGCTCAAGTCGAGTTAGTATTGCTCTAAGGGTTTGCACAGGACGATTCTCAGATAAAAACCCAGACATTCTCCATACACCAATGAAAAATTCCCGATCAAGATCAGCTTCAGTGAATCCATAAAGGGCTGGGTCTAAATCATCAGGAACCTCCCTCTGCTCCAAACCTAATGGGTCCAACTTTGCTTTCATGTGACCATATACCTGGTAAGCTCTCACAAGTAGCAACAACCTCATACTCTCTTGAATCGTTTGACCTGAAATTCCGGGAGACGTGGCTGCCTGACCAACAAAGTTTCTAAAGAAATTGTCCCATGACTCATCAACACTGTTTGGGTCAGCCTCCCAAGCTCTCTGAAGCTCCTCTAGGTACACACTGCTTGTCCCATCTAAGAAACTATCGGTTAATTTAGACAGTGGCACAGGGCGAGGGACAGGCGCAGCTTGCGCCTTTGATTTAAAAACTGTAGTGTGAAAATAACGATTATGTGATGGAACGATCCGTGATCTTGCTGCATATGATCCACCCTGTGACAAAGTTCTTCTGATGGCAAGTTTCGCGGCACTGGATCCCGCTCTAAACCACGCCATTATTACTAATTCCAACCCGCAAAAAAAATACAGATTTGATAAATTTCGTACTTCCACGACCAATTTCAAACACTAATAACAATAATTTCCATCTCTACACTTCCTTAACAAACCCCAACCTACCAAATCCACCAAAAAAAAAAATTCAAAATCAAAATCACTAACAAAATCTTCAAGCATGGTGCAGAACAAACACAAACATTGTAACTGAAGCTAAAAGATTAATTTATTCCATGTTTCATTGTAACTAAATTTACAACAAAAAGCAAAATTTGAACAATGTTAACTAATTGATAAGCAGTTCAAAAGAAATTAAAATCTACAATCATTACAAACATAAATGAACACGGTAGGGGAGGGAAAAGCAAGTCGGTAACGAGCTAAATTAGAAATTTACCTAAAAACAAATCAACTGAAAATCATATGAATCAAAGAGAACAAAAATGCATTTAGTTGAGTCGCAATGACTCCAAGTATCAAATAACAATCTTGAAGTTGGATGAAATTATCAAACAAATGATGAAATTGACTTACAAAAATCAACCAACCAGAGTATCGATATATATAAATACATGCCTGTATATATATATAAATATATATAACGGAAACTAGAGAGAGAAAGTTTCAGATACATCACCGTGAAGCTTACGCCGACAGATCCAAATCGCAGGGTGTGAGAGAATTTTACATTACACAGACCCTGTTTTATGTTTTTTTTTAAAAAATTTTTAAAGGTTTTTCGGACAAAATCTACCGTCTCTCATCCCTATATTTTATTTCTTACTGTATCAATTTCTTTCCTTTGACCTCTTTCTTTACAGAAATGGAAGTTTCTACTGATTTCTCAAAGTTGGGCTGGGCCGAATTTCAGTATGGCAAGAGTCTAGTTTTAAGGCCCAGGACCAAATAATTTGTTTTTCAATTTTTTAAAAATAAAATTTTCATTTTTTTTTGGAAAAAAATTTAATTTTCGAAATAAATAACTACTAGAACTCTTGCTCACATTTTTATTATAAATTTTATAAGCATTGTATAGAAATTGCACTTTTCAGAAAAGAATGAGGTGCAACGGTTTTTTTTTTGGTTCTTTTTTTCCTTCCACAAGTAAGGAATAATAATCCCATGAAGTGGTTAATAATAATATAAAAATAATTAGTGATTTGTTTATTAAAATGCATTTGTTAATAAAGAGTTCTTTATCAATTAAAAAATTTTACTTAAAAATAAAATATTAAATTTAAAGGTACACAACAACTCAAAAATAGAAAAGTATTTTTAATTTCTTCGTACTCGTTCCAAGTTCTTTGTAACTTTTGTACAAAGAAGAATTCCTTGTTTATGTGCTCCAAACATAAACGTGCAATACCATTAGTAAATTCTTCTTCAATTGTATCACACTAAGCATAATTAAGATCAGAATAGTTGGTAATGCTTACTCGAAAATTGGAGTGTAAAAATAGTGTCTTTTGGAGCTTTTTTACATTCATATATATATTTTTTCTTCTTTTGTTTATAAATTGGTAATTTTAATTTCATTTTCTCAACTTCTGTTTTGAAAAAAAGAAAAAGAAGGATTCAAACTGTGATTGTGTGAAACCACAAGCTTGTGAATTCTCTGTCAATGTTGTGCTTGGTCAGCCTCAGTGGGCCTTGCATAGGTGGGTAGTAGCTTATTTTGACCCGAAATATTCCAAGAAAACAAATATTCCTTACCTTTTCAACAAGTTTAAAAAAATAAAAAAGAAAAAGACAAAGGATTACGTGAGACACCTATCTTTGAATTTTATTTATTTATTTATTTTTTCCAAAGGTTACCTATCTTGAATTTTGTTGAAGAACTTTGAACTGTTTTCCGGTTTTTTTAAGCTTGTCTTTACTCTTTAGAGCTTGTTTTGGCACATATTTTTTGAAAAAGGATCTTCTCCAAAGAAATTTCTCTCCTAATATTTCTAACTATTTAATTCTATCACTGTTATAGCGCCACATCACCAACCTATCATTCCATCATTAATTTACCAAACTTAATTAATTAACTAATAAATATGGTATCTTTTGAACTAAAATTTTTAAGAAAATAATTAGGGAGATTTTCCATCCCGCTAAAACTTTTACTTTACTTTTTTGCAAATTCAATTTTAAGAGTAAAATAAACTTTTTTTATTTTTATTTTTACTCACAAATAAACTTTTTTTTTTTATTTTTATTTTTACTCACACCCTTAATTAAATTATTTTCAACTGTAAATTTCGAAACTAATCCAATTGTAGCAAGGTAACTAATTGGATGAGAAAGAACAAAGACATTTTTAGTCCGATACCATATTTATTAACCCAGAAAAAACAGTAAAATTTTTGTTGGAGTGGATACAACTATGCAAGGTAGAGAAAATCTATATGAAATGAGCTTTGAGTTATCTGATGTACCAAGATCTTAAATTACTTTTTCAACCCAGAAAAAATTGTGAAATCTTCTAAACCTTAAATTGTAGCAAATAAAGATTGATGATAGTAGAGAAAAATCGAAAGAGGGAACCTTAATGGTAATTGGTATCTTGAAAATTTTAGCGCCAAAAAGTAATTAAAGTGCAAGTTTTAGTGCGATGAGAAATTGCCGTAATTGTTATCTTGAAAATTTTAGTCCAAAAGATACCATATTTATAATTAATTAATTACGTTTGGTAAATTAATGATGGAATGGTAAGTTGGTGGTGTGGTGTTATAACAGTAGTAAGATTAACGCTTTAAAATATATATATGGTTAATAATTTGATGTCTAATGTGATTTGAGGCTAACATTATCATCTTATCGTCAATATTATTAATGTTATAATGAAATAGCCTTTATTTACAAAATAATAATAATAATAAATAAATAAATAGTTTGAATTTGTCCAATTAATGCAGATATAATGCTTGTCCTTCGTTGCTGTTTTAAATGCCCCTACTAAATCCATAAATTATTTGGTCCCCTCACCATCGACTATAGCACCTCTTTTTAGCCTACCAAAATTAAGGGGAAAAATAATATTATTGCCAACTTTAATACTAGATATAAATAGGCATCATTATTACTCTTGTTTGTTTTCATAAAATATGTCTATTTCTTTTTCCTTATCTTAGACTCTTTTTCTTATTTTTTTAGTTTATCATAGCTGTATCATCCCCTTTTTCGCTTTCACATAAAGTTTCATGCTGTTCAAATTTAATAATTTGATTTATACAAAATCTAAAGCAAAAACTATAATGTTTTTATAAGAAAAATGATATTATTGTTTACTTTAATAACCAACTTAAAACCAACATAGATAAAAAATAAAAAAAAAAACATGACTTGTTATTCTAAAATTTCAACTTAAACAGGCATAAATACTATTCTTGTTTGTTTCCATAAAATATATTCATTTATTTTTGTTTTTCATAGCTGTATCATCTTCTTTTTCGTTTTCACAACTTTTATGGTACTCAAATATAAGAATTTGATTTGTACAAAATCTAAAACAAAAACTACTTACTTTCTTTAGTTATGTTGCTATAGTTTTGTACATTAATAATAATAATAATAATAATAATAAGCATTTTTCTTTATAATTAAATGGTAATACGTATATAATGCAATTCAACTAAAAAATATTGAGAGGCTCCTTGGTTTGTAATTATGAGAACAATTTTCGGTTAAAATTCTGCTTGATTCAGTTTTCTGAAAACTAATTACAAACCAAGCATGTCCGGAATATTTTTCTTTTCCAGCAAATGGAATTTTAAAAAAAAAAATTATATCTGTTGTTATAGTTGTACATTATATATATATATATATATATATATATATATATATATATATATAAGCATTTTTCCTTATAATTAAACGATTAAAGACTGATTTTTCTATATATATATATATAAAATAAATAAATAAATAAATAAATTGTATATGTAAAGGAATTATATACTTAATACGAATTATATAAGTATTTTTCTTTTTCACCAAACGAAATTTAAATAAAATAATAATAAGGGTTAAATGCAAAAAAAAAAAAAAAAAAACCCTGAACTATTTGCAACTAATCCCTAGAACTACAAGAAACCCTCTTGAACTTTCAATTTGTTGCAATTTGCCCACTTAGGCCACCGGAAAAGAAAAAAGACAAAATTGCCCTCCCTATAAAACGACGCAGTATCATTGCACTTATTGATGCCCTAACTCGTACGGCACCATCACAACTCCGCCGCCAATGCCATCGATCCAACCCAACCCTCTCTCCTCATCGAACGTTGCCGCTGTAGATATTCTTTCCCGACGTACTCTTTCATCGCCTCCCACCCAATCTCCCTCCCTACTCGCCGCTCACCACCACCACCCACCACCTCTCCTGCCTTCATCTCTCTCTCCGACCCAAACCTAACTCTTTTAACCAATCTTTTCTCTGCTTCTTCTCAACTCGGTTTCTTCCAACTCACCCACCACTCAATACCCTCCCAAGTCGCGCACTCAGGCGAATCCGATTCACTCTCTCTCTTCAACCTCCCTGACGATCAGAAATAACTGTTTGTCCCCAAAAACTAGCCCCTTGGCTATGACAGCGATGATGACAAAGATGACAGTGGAACGGGTGACTTGTTCTGTTTTGACTCGTCTTGTTCTACTGGAGGTTGTCGGAGCGCTGTCCTGCACAGTAGGTTTTGAGAACCCATTCTGGATTCTCAATTTTGAGGCGGCTAAGAAGTATATATATCCCCATTTGGGATTCCATTCTTTTCAAAGTTTGATTGGTGAGCATCATCACATCTTCGTCAATTAATTGTTATTCCTTGGCGAAGAAATTTCAGGAGAGATTAAGGGTGTTCTTAACGAATTGGTTCGCCACTTGGCTGTGCGAGAGCAGAGGAAGCGAGCCCGGATTTTATGTCTGTATGTGTGTGTATGTGTGTATATATATATATATATACAAACCTTATAATATAAAGAGAAAGTAACTGAGGCGGAGCAATTACGGTCGCTGGAGCAGGCATAGCTGAGGCGGAGGGCAATTACGGCCGTCTGATGATCGCTCGTTCCTTCTCTCTACGCTCATACTTGTTGATTTCAAAACCGCCGCAAGCACCGCCGTTCCATCCCGCCAAGTATTGCAACCCATCACAGAACTGCCGGTGAGGTTCATTCTAAGTCACGTGTGCTTACCATTAAATCCTTACTTCCCCTCCGTTTCAAGCTCGTCGTAAGCCCTTTTTGCTACCTTATTGGGCGTCCTCACGAGCTCGCCGACATTCTCACCGTCACTGTGGTCACTAGCTAAAGCCATGTTTGGATAATCACAAGGTTAAAGCCATGTTTAGATATTGCAGTCAAAGGTTGGAAATTAAGGACACTCTTCTCCTTTTATACTTCTAAGGGCAGTATGGTTTTTTTTTTAAAATCAACCAAATTTAACGGCTAGATAAGATAATCTGTAATTACATAGTTCATGGAGTTTTTTATATTTTTAGTAATTCAGGGGGTTAGTTGCAGGTTTTCATTATTTGGAAATTTTTTTTTGCATTTTACCCTAATAATAATTTATACACATGTACCTGTACACATTTTTATGAACCATGCTTAATATAATACAAATGCGAAATCTGTCAATAAAGTGTAGTAGAAAAAACTGAACAGATAATGACAAACTTAATAGGAACCATGGAACCATAAAAGCGCGCCAAAAGGAGGTATTATTAAGTAAAGCCAATTTACTAATACAGAAAAATGTCATCCAATATCTTACAGACGAACTGCACTTGAACACACTTTTATTCTTAAAAC